ATATTTAGAACAAATGGTTTCAATAGATTCTTTCTCTTCATTGTTTAAATGATTAAGTTCTAATAAAGGTAACAAAGATTTAGCCATATTGGAGCTACTTTTACATTGACCAAATTTAAAAATGTTATACTCTCTCAAAGGTTCCACATCTAAAGTAATATTGTTTAATCTTATTTCCTCATCTCTAGTATTTAAAATCTTAATTGGAACGCGTTTATTTTTCGGTTGAACAATAGTTCCTGCCAAAAATACATCCTTTTCTATCTCTCTCGCGCACACAAAACAATCCTCTTCCACTTCCTTATTCAAATATACATAATGTATAGACTCACTTCGAGGTGCGAGTACTAACGAGTTGCTATAATCAGGTTTATCGAAAATCGGTAAAATACAATGCTTACCATCAATTTGCAGCGTCAGCAAATTATTTTCTAAATCTATTTTAGCCTTATATCTAATCATAAAATCTAATCCTAATATTCCATCTACGGCGATAGGTAATTTCTTGAAACTATAAAACTTGCTCGTAAATTTATCATATTTACAACTGTAAATGTCTAAAATAACATAACTCGAAGCTTCAATTTCTCCTCCGATTCCATTTACTACTAAGTTATTGTAAAATATTTCACTCGACTTAGGAATTTGTTCTTCCTTAATTACCGAAATAGATACACCGGTATCTACCAGTAGTATAATCTTCCTATTCTTAACATAAAAATATACGAATTTAGTGTTACCTCTACAAGCAAAAACTAAGTTATTAAGTCCGAAAAAACTGGTTACTCTCTCTCTCATCAGCTAGGTGTTCTACGTTATCAGCAGTTCGTACTGGTCTATTATTTTGTAACGCTAATATTCTATTTTTAAAATTACCTTTCTTGTTGTTGTATCCCCTTCTGTTGTTGTAGAACATGTTTTGTCCTCTACCTCGCGGCGTATACTTGAATCTATTACCTTGATATCTATTAACATTGTTATTATTATTTTGGAAGTTAGTACCTCTGTTGTTGTAATTGTTGTGGTAATTTATCTGGAACCCTCGACCTCTGGTTTGGAATCTAAAAGAACGATTATTGTATCTACCTCGACCTCTAGGAAAAGATGAAATTTTCATTACCTCTGCCTGAGTAGATGACGATGGAGTGGATTCATCCTTGGCCGCTTGAATGGCTTCTTTTAGCGATGTGTAATTTCTAGCAGCTATAATCGTACTTAACTTTTCATTTTTAAGTCCATCTGTAAATTTTTTAATCACCATTTTTATTAATTGGTTTCAGAACTGTACTTTTAGTAACGTTACCCCCAGCCTGTGAAATATTCAAATCGGTTAATAGTTTTTAAAGTTGAGATCCGCATTGTTCAATAGTCCTATAGCCCTGATTCAGAGACTGTATCTGATTATGTATTGCAGTGAAAGATTTTTTTGTCAATAACTTATTACGAAAATCTTGAATCATCAAGTCTACTGAAGTATAAGAATTGGATACGCGCAACTTAGTATTTTTTGATAGCCTGCCCTTGAGAACAAATTTAATTAAAAGTTGCTGGCCTTCACTACTAACTTCTACTTCACACATGTCTGCATACATTTCCACAGCATCAATCAATCGTTTCGTAGTATCTTCCCTATCATCTAAAAGAGGTATCAAGCTACAAGCAGTTTTCAAATCAAAATCCATCTTTTCTGATTTCATCTCTAAGCTGGGTGAAACACACAATTTCACTATTTCTGCAAATAAAGAACAAATTTTGTCATATGTTTCAGTAATTTAAGATATTTCCGACTTATCCTTAATATTACTTAATGTAGAAAATATATCTTTACTATCATTTAAATATATCTCGGCTTCTCGGCTCGGTTCAACTTATTTAACGCAATAGAACCTTTATACCTACTTTGTCCCTTTTTAATCAAATATTTCCTTATTTCTGACAATTGCTCATAATCTTTTGTTATTTTCTCAGCCATAATACCATTAATTTATTATAGAAGCTAAAGTTAACTTGCACTTGGTTCATATTTCACTCAATTGATTTTAATTTTATTCTAAAACGAAGCACAGTCATACAGTGTACCGATTACAAATGCTGAATTGCATCTCGACCGATCGCAGCGGTCGGAATTCTTAGACCTAACACATTTTTTTAAAACTATTTTAAATGTTATAGAGAAACAAAATTAAACATGCTACCTAAATTTAACATAATTTTCGAAAGAAGTTTATAAAATTACCAATGTCACTATAATTGTCACGTAAAAAAAAGGTTTGACTCACTCTCGTAAAAACTAAACGGAAATGCACTTTTTAGGAACTGCACTAATATAAAACACACCACGGTTTCACGCTGCTTGTCTGCTCACGCGCAGAGTCCAAAAACAGGCGTCGTCATGTGGATATACGGCGTAGGGGCACTCGGAGAAGTCAAGGATCGCTCACTTATGTCCAGGATCCAGTACAGGGGTAGGCCGGTTACGTAGATATACGGTGTAGAGGCACTCGGAGAAAGTAAGGCAACACAAATTTACACATCTTCTTCATTACGCGGTTCACGTCTGTTAGACAGTCTAGTGCGCATTCTTCTTAAAAATTCCACATTAATTTTCTTTTCTACCCATTTCTTATGTTTTTCTTTCAGCTTCAAAAATATGATAACAAACAGGACGATTGATGCCAAAATTAAAAATGTTGTGATCAATATATTGTTAATCTTTATATGATAATCCTTTTCTTCTATTTCCACGGTATAGGTTCCTCCAGTTTGGGCAATCGTCGTTTCATGTTCTTCATTTTTCGAATTACTATTCCCCATTTTGTTTTTTGGCACGAACACGCGCATACACAGTCACAAAGTTAATAATTATATTCTTATTCATTATTATTACGTAGTTGCATTCACTGCCGAGGCACACAGGAATGTGCAAAGTCCGCACTTTTAGCCTGCAACCGGACACGCGCGCTTGGCATGGGTCGCCATGAATTATGATATTAATAATGGAATGAAAGGTCAACACGTTTGTTCAACTCGAGTGTTTATTTAATACTGGCTTACTTTCTAATACATCGAATATAACCTACAAGTACATAGGTTACTTCAGTTGGAGTCACACGCAAGTGTGAGTAACGATCCAAGATGGAGTCTTATAGACACTATTCCGAAGATATCCCGGACGTCAGTCTGAGCGAGATTAGAATGGCTTTCCAGCACCTTAAAAATAGCAAAGCATCAGGCGAGGATGGAATTACAGCGGAGCTTCTGAAAGCGGGTGAAAACCCGTACTTGTAGTCTACTATAAGAAATGAGACTATGAGAAAGCCTTTGATTCCGTCGAAATTTGGGCGGTGCTGCAGTCCCTTCAGCGGTGCCAAGTTGACTGTCGGTATATCGAAGTGCTGAAGTGTTTGTACAGTAGAGCTACGATGGCTATCCGAGTACAGAACCAGAGTACGAAACCTATCCAATTGCAGAGAGGTGTAAGACAGGGTGACGTGATATCCCCGAAACTCTTCACCGCTGCATTGGAAGACGTTTTCAAGCTTCTGGACTGGAAAGGATACGATATTAACATCAATGGCGAGTACATCACTCACCTTCGATTTGCCGACGATGTAGTCCTTATGGCAGAATCGCTGGAGGAACTAAGCACCATGCTCAATGACCTCAAAAGTGTCTCCCAACGGATAGGTCTTAAGATAAACATGGACAAAACAATGATCATGTTTAATATCCATGTCACACCAATGCTGGTAGTTGTTGGGAGCACTAAGCTCGAAGTTGTTGACGAGTATGTTTACCTGGGACAAATAGTCCGACTAGGTAAGTCCAACTTCGACCGAGAGGTCAATCGACGGATCCCACTCGGCTGGGCAGCGTTCGGGAAACTACGACATATCTTCTCGTCAGGTATACCTCAAAACCTTAAAGCGAAATTGTACAACCAGTGCGTGTTGCCAGTGATGACTTACGGATCTGAGACGTGGTCCTTCACTGCTGGCCGTATGAGGAAGCTCAAGGTCGCTCAGCGAGCTATGGAGAGGGCTATGCTCGGGGTTTCTCTGCGTGATAAACTTAGAAATAAGTATATCCGCAGTAGAACCAAAGTAACCGACATAGCCCAACGGATTAGTAAGCTGAAGTGGCAGTGGGCCGGCCATATAGCTCGAAGAACCGACAACCGATGGGGAAGAAAGTTCTTGAGTGGCAGCTTCGTACCGGTAGGCGAAGTGTAGGGCGACCCCCCACGAGATGGAGTGACGACCGGGTAAGACATGCAGGAAGTCGATGGATGCAGGTGGCTCAGGACCGTGCTTTGTGGCATTCCTTGGGGGAGGCCTATGTTCAGCAGTGGACTTATGAAAGGCTGTAATAATGATGATGTCTTTTTGGTTGTCCTAATAAATAAAGAAAGAAGAAATATTAATTATAAACACTCATAACTTGACATAATAATGTACAAAATATTTTGATAGACGATTTTTAAGGATTAAATCTCCTAACTAATAGACTCAGGAGCACAAATTGAAACTATAATTACTGATTTCAGTAAAGCTTTTGATCGCATGTTCCTTAAGAAGTATTACAAAGATGTTATACATGATAATTTATACTGTTGGTTTTCGTTCCAAATTAGTAATAGATCTCCAGTTATTGTAACATAAATGAATTTACGTCCGCGTAGATCTCAATTCCTTCTGGTGTGCCTCAAGGCTCTTTGTTAGGGCCTTTGTTATTTATCATTTTTATTATGGACATAGCTTTGTGACACAAAACACTGCATGAGTATGAGCTTCGCTGATTGTAAACGTTCACGATGTGACTTAAATTTCGAAACAAGCTTGATTTATTATAGATACATTATCTATCAATAGGTCCTTACTAAAGTTACATCTACTATTAAATATTTAGGAGTAATTCAAGGATTCAATTAAAGGAGTAGTTCAAGATTCACCTTAGCACTTGTTGTCCTGTATTTAAATGTTTACCGCTGTGTGTGGCAGGTGCGGCCGGCGGTGGCGGCGAGGGGCGGGCGCGGTGGTCGGCGGGGTGGAGCGCGGAGTGCGGCGCGCGGCTGCTGGAGCTGTTCTGGTGGGCGGGCGCGCCGGCGCCGGGCGCGCGCGCGCTGCAGTCCGCCCTGCTGCGTGCGCTGTACGCCGCGCCGCGCGCCGCACTGGCGCACCTCGCGCCGCGCGACCCCGCCGCCATGCGCAAGGTGAGCGCACGCACACACGCACGCACATATGTACACACGCACGCACGTACACACGCACACACGCTGCAGCCCGCCCTGCTGCGTGCGCTGTACGCCGCGCCGCGCGCCGCACTGGCGCACCTCGCGCCGCGCAACCCCGCCGCCATGCGCAAGGTGAGCGCACGCACACACGCACGCACATATGTACACACGCACGCACGTACACACGCACACACGCTGCAGCCCGCCCTGCTGCGTGCGCTGTACGCCGCGCCGCGCGCCGCACTGGCGCACCTCGCGCCGCGCGACCCCGCCGCCATGCGCAAGGTGAGCGCACGCACACACGCACGCACATATGTACACACGCACGCACGTACACACGCACACACGCTGCAGCCCGCCCTGCTGCGTGCGCTGTACGCCGCGCCGCGCGCCGCACTGGCGCACCTCGCGCCGCGCGACCCCGCCGCCATGCGCAAGGTGAGCGCACGCACACACGCACGCACATATGTACACACGCACGCACGTACACACGCACACACGCTGCAGCCCGCCCTGCTGCGTGCGCTGTACGCCGCGCCGCGCGCCGCACTGGCGCACCTCGCGCCGCGCGACCCCGCCGCCATGCGCAAGGTGAGCGCACGCACACACGCACGCACATATGTACACACGCACGCACGTACACACGCACACACGCTGCAGCCCGCCCTGCTGCGTGCGCTGTACGCCGCGCCGCGCGCCGCACTGGCGCACCTCGCGCCGCGCGACCCCGCCGCCATGCGCAAGGTGAGCGCACGCACACACGCACGCACATATGTACACACGCACGCACGTACACACGCACACACGCTGCAGCCCGCCCTGCTGCGTGCGCTGTACGCCGCGCCGCGCGCCGCACTGGCGCACCTCGCGCCGCGCGACCCCGCCGCCATGCGCAAGGTGAGCGCACGCACACACGCACGCACATATGTACACACGCACGCACGTACACACGCACACACGCTGCAGCCCGCCCTGCTGCGTGCGCTGTACGCCGCGCCGCGCGCCGCACTGGCGCACCTCGCGCCGCGCGACCCCGCCGCCATGCGCAAGGTGAGCGCACGCACACACGCACGCACATATGTACACACGCACGCACGTACACACGCACACACGCTGCAGCCCGCCCTGCTGCGTGCGCTGTACGCCGCGCCGCGCGCCGCACTGGCGCACCTCGCGCCGCGCGACCCCGCCGCCATGCGCAAGGTGAGCGCACGCACACACGCACGCACATATGTACACACGCACGCACGTACACACGCACACACGCTGCAGCCCGCCCTGCTGCGTGCGCTGTACGCCGCGCCGCGCGCCGCACTGGCGCACCTCGCGCCGCGCGACCCCGCCGCCATGCGCAAGGTGAGCGCACGCACACACGCACGCACATATGTACACACGCACGCACGTACACACGCACACACGCTGCAGCCCGCCCTGCTGCGTGCGCTGTACGAAGATTTGTATCGACATTGATGTTTGGGTGGGTGCGGTCCACAGCTGGCGGTGTACCTGCTGTCGATGCTGCAGCATGTGCACGCAGCGGCCGAGGGCGGCGAGCCGGCGGTGGAGTTGGCCATCACGGACTGGGCGCGCGGCTGGGCCGTGGCCACGCAGGCCGAGCTGGCCGAGCGCCTGCCCAGCGCCGCGCTGCCGCACGAGGCCGAGCGCTTCCTGCGCGAGGACGAGGAGCGCTGGCGCCGCCCTGCAGCAGCACACCGCCAACGCACCGCCATAGCCAAGTGAGCACAGCTGCTACACTCGTTGGACCACATTAAGCAGAAATGATCCAACCAACAATTTACATATTTAGTTTTTGTCCAAAACTTTTCCCAATGTATTTAAGATAAATCAGACGTTTTATTTTATTTTTTTTCAAATATCATAAATTCTAAAAAATAAGAAGTTATCGCAAAATCTTAATTTTTAATGACTAATTATATTTGTATAACATAATTTAATAGATCTTCTGCCACAAGAAAAATGCATTTATCTGGTTTTTCTGGGTTAAAATATTTCTGCACAACACGGTTCAATTATCCCGGGATTTTCTTCACTTTCTTATTTAGTGCGTACTCAGTCTTCAAACTTTAATCATAAAGATGATTACCGGCTGCTAAGCACAACATTTTTGAATGAATTAATTTTAAGTAAGGACTTGAACATTAAGTTAGTTAATCCCGGACGTCAGTCTGACCGAGATTAGAATGGCTCTCCAGCACCTTAAAAACGACAAGTCTCCGGGCGAAGATGGAATTACAGTGGAGGTTTTGAAAGCGGGTGGAAAACGGGTACTTGAAGTCTTTCAGAAGCTCTTTAATTCCGTCCTCCATGGTGGCATTACTCCGGAGGCGTGGAGCAGAAGTGCGGTGGTCTTGTTCTTCAAGAAAGGCGACAACGCTCTCTTGAAGAACTACAGACCGATTTCCCTTCTGAGCCGCGTATACGTGCTGTTATCGAGAGTCATTACGAATCGTTTCGCACGCAGACTTGACGACTTCCAGCCTCCCGAACAATCTGGTTTCCGAAAAGGCTTTAGTACCATAGACCACATACATACCTTGCGGCAGATTATACAGAAGACAGAGGAGTATAATCTGCCACTTTGCCTTGCGTATGTGGACTATGGGAAAGCTTTTGACTCCGTCGAAATTTGGGCAGTGCTGCAGTCCCTTCAGCGATGCCAAGTTGACTGTCGGTATATCGAAGTGCTGGAGTGTTTGTACAGTAGAGCTACGATGGCTATCCGAGTACAGAATCAGAGTACGAAACCTATCCAATTGCAGAGGGGTGTAAGACAGAGTGATGTTATATCCCCGAAACTCTTCACCGCTGCATTGGAATACGTTTTTAAGCTACTGGACTGGAAAGGATGCGGTACAAACATCAATGGCAAGTACATCACTCACCTTGGATTTGCCGACGATATAGTCCTTATGGCAGAATCGTTGAAGAACCTAAGCACTTTAATCAATGACCTCAATAGTGTCTCCCAACGGATAGGTCTTAAGATGAACATGGACAAAACAAAAATCATGTTTAATGTCCATGTCACACCTATGTCGGTAGTTGTTGGGAGCACTAAGCTCGAAGTTGTTGACAAGTATGTTTACCTGGGACAAATAGTTCGACTAGGTAAGTCCAACTTCAAACGAGAGGTCAATCGACGGATTCAACTCGGCTGGGCAACGTTCGGGAATACTACGACACATCTTCTCGTTAGACATACCTCAAAACCTTAAAACGAAATTGTACAACCAGTGCGTGTTGCCAGTGATGACTTACGGATCTGAGACGTGGTCCTTCACTGCTGGCCGTATGACGAAGCTCAAGGTCGCTCAGCGAGCTATGGAGAGGCCTATACTCGGGGTTTCTCTGCGTGATAAACTTAGAAATGAGGATATTCGCAGTAGAACCAGAGTAACCGACATAGCACAACGGATTAGTAAGCTGAAGTGGCAGTGGGCCGGCCATATAGCTCGAAGAACCGACAACCGATGGGGAAGAAAGGTTCGCGAGTGGCAGCCTCGTTCCGGTAGGCGAAGTGTAGTGCGGCCCCTCACTAAATGGAGTGACGACCTGGTAAGACATGCAGGAAGTCGATGGATGCAGGTGGCTCAGGACCGTGCTTTGTGGCATTCCTTGGGGGAGGCCTATGTTCAGCAGTGGACTTATGAAAGGCTGTAATGGTGATGATTATAGTAGTTTAAAATATGCAAATATTTTGATTATTATTAAAGAAACTAGCTGACCCGACGAACTTCGTACCGTCTAACAGTCGATTCTTTAATTTTTTTTTAATACTCATTCTGCTATTCGGGATACCAGGTCAGCTAGTAGGATAAAAAAAAAGAAAAAAGAAAGTTGATAAGTCAACAATTTCATTATGTCAAAAAATAAAACTTATAAAAGACTTAAAATTCTTTTAATAGTTACGGAAAAATCACAATGAAAATTACAATTTCTGATTTCCTATTATGATACCTACACAAATATTGACGTTAATATTTATACGATACTAACGTCACCTTATTGTTTTGCCTTCCCAGAACCCCATCCACTAACACTTAAACTTTATAGTATGGTATTAAAGTTCAAATTGACTTTTAAGTACCATTACGAACCTTTTGTATGGGAATATAGAAAAGTGTTGTTTTTAGACTTTATCAGGCAATTTTATTTAAATTTTTCTCTCCGTAAGAACCATCTTCGTACTTCAAGGAATATTATAAAAAAAGAATTAGCGAAATCGATTCAGCTGCTCTCGAGATTTGCGCTTAGCAACACATTCAGCAATTCATTTTTATATTATAGATAGATGAACATTTTTGTTGCAAATGTGTACATTCTTTATCTAGGGTTGGTGGGTTTCCTTGGTAAATCCACGACAAAACTAGTATTGCAATGCAGGTGTATGGCTGTGCAGGGCGGTGTTCGGGCGGGAGACGTTGGCGTTACGAGCGACGGAGACCGCCATGGCGGTGACGCGGCGAGTAGTGGAGGCGCAGAACGCTGAGCGCAAGGCCTTCCTCGAGCACCTGCGCACCGCGCAGGCGCACCACGCGGCCGCCGCGCAGCGCTGGCAGCTGCTCGTCGACACGCACGCACACGAGCGCGGTCAGTACGCACACACGCACACGTGCACGCACACACACACGAGCGCAAGGCCTTCCTCGAGCACCTGCGCACCGCGCAAGCGCACCACGCGGCCGCAGCGCAGCGCTGGCAGCTGCTCGTCGACACGCACGCACACGAGCGCGGTCAGTACGCACACACGCACACGTGCACGCACACACACACGAGCGCAAGGCCTTCCTCGAGCACCTGCGCACCGCGCAAGCGCACCACGCGGCCGCAGCGCAGCGCTGGCAGCTGCTCGTCGACACGCACGCACACGAGCGCGGTCAGTACGCACACACGCACACGTGCACGCACACACACACGAGCGCAAGGCCTTCCTCGAGCACCTGCGCACCGCGCAAGCGCACCACGCGGCCGCAGCGCAGCGCTGGCAGCTGCTCGTCGACACGCACGCACACGAGCGCGGTCAGTACGCACACACGCACACGTGCACGCACACACACACGAGCGCAAGGCCTTCCTCGAGCACCTGCGCACCGCGCAAGCGCACCACGCGGCCGCAGCGCAGCGCTGGCAGCTGCTCGTCGACACGCACGCACACGAGCGCGGTCAGTACGCACACACGCACACGTGCACGCACACACACACGAGCGCAAGGCCTTCCTCGAGCACCTGCGCACCGCGCAAGCGCACCACGCGGCCGCAGCGCAGCGCTGGCAGCTGCTCGTCGACACGCACGCACACGAGCGCGGTCAGTACGCACACACGCACACGTACACGCACACACACACGAGCGCAAGGCCTTCCTCGAGCACCTGCTCGCTGCTGCAAATTTACAAAAAAGGCAATAACAGGTTCTCACAAATAGAAATACACTAACATATGTTTAAAGGACATAGCACAAATATGAGCAACAAAAATGAAGTGTAATTTAAATGTACAACATGCATAAATTTAATAAGTGAAACCAACCATAGTAGCCACAAAATAAAAGAAAAAGCAGGACTAAACACACAATATAATTTTTTCTTAAAATATATTAAATTATGACATAGAAAACTTTCGACTTAATGCCCGCCTTGCCGATATATAGCTAGTATTAAACAAATCAAAATCATGCTTTTTGCATAAATTACTAAAATTATTAATAGACCGATACATGAAAGAATTTCATTAATTAATCACAATCTACTCCCATAGTTTCCCTCATAGGATTATATTTTTTAATAATTGCCAGGCTTTGTAAGCGGGTTGGCAACCTCAGGTTTTTATTATTATTGAATTTTTATTCACAACATCCTACTGCCCGCAGGCGTATGGCACAGCCCGCGTGGCTGGCCGACGTCGTGGCAGCTGGACAGCACGGAGGGGCCGGGGCGAGTTCGCGTTCGCCTGCGCCGAGCGCACCTGCGCCTGCCTGCGCGCTTCCTGCAGCCCCATGCGAGGTACAAGGCAGGTCAGTGGCAGCTCAGTGGCAGCTCAGTGGCAGCTGGACAGCACGGAAGGGCCGGGGCGCGTGCGCCTGCCCGCGCGTTTCCTGCAGCCGTACGCTAGGCACAAGGCAGATGACTGTACGTGCTTGTGTGTGTGCAGAGGCAGCGCTGCAGCCGGGCCCCCTGCGCGGCGTGCTGGGCGGCGTGCTGGGCGGCGGGCGGTGCGGCGCGCGGGGCGGGGCGGGCGGCGGGGCGGGCGGCGGGGCGGGCGGCGGGCTGGCGGCGCGCCTGGCGCCCGGCGAGAGCGTGGCCTTCATGGCGCGCGTCGTGCACGTCACCGTGGCCAGCGAGACGCCCGGCGAGCTGCTGCTCAGCGACCGGTGAGCGTACCTCAGCCTATGCCAGTCGGTAGTCGTCAGTAATGCCAAGTGTATACCGGTTCTTGTTTTGTACATTTAGCACAAACTTTCAAAATTTGCTATATTTCAGGCTGCGGAGTAGATTATTCTAAGCTTTTGTTTAGTTAACGCATCAATAAAGTAGTAAAAAAAGCCTTCAAATCTCTCACTTTTATCGTTATATTATCAACTAACTACTTTAAACCTATTAAACTCATTAAATGTTTTCCATGCTTATGTGTGTAATATCCTTGAGTCTGCCACTGTGGTCTAGAATCCGTAATATAACGTTTATTTTTCCCGCATTAAATCTATTCAAAAAGGTTTCTAACATATTTACAGTTTAAATATAAATGAGATCATTTGGATACGAGACGATGTAGAAGGCTTTTCCTTATAAAGAGTAAGCTAAAACCTGGGTAGCACGTAAATTATTTATAAGACGTGCCCAATTTGTATAAACCCAGAGTCAACACTAATTATCGTCGCAACTGCCTTTATTCGTGCAAGTAACTTTTTCGACAATTTTTTATTACGTAAAATCAACAGGCTGTTTGACTAAGAGTTTTTCGGACGTCACTTCATGCGTGCCATAAATTTTAGTTCCTTTTCCTCTTTTTTGTATTTTTAATTGATTTCGTTTTAAGAGCTTGTATGATACACCGAATATTAGTGAAACACTCCCGAAAACGAAGACAGACAATAGTACTATGATACCTATGATGATGGGTCATAAAGAGATTCGATTCCGAGGAAAAAAAATCATCTTTTCACAACGTTTTATTAACTTTATTCACGCTTCATCATGTTAGTACAGCTAAATGAAACGATAATTTCATAAAAAATATCATGAAATACTTAAACATAAAACCAGCAGTGGAAAAACAATCAGCTGACTAGGGGTCAATGTACGCGCGGACGCCGTATTCGCACGGCCCGCAGCTAGCGATGCTACCACAATACTAAATAATTTACAACACTTTTCTAAATACCTAACTTATCTACTTAACCTACTATTTTTCCACTGTGCTTGTCTCTACCTAGCCACTTTAATTCGAATTCACAGGTTAAATAAACCAAATACCTGGTTCGATTCCCCGCTAATGAAAAAATTACTTAAATGAAATGTAAACAAGGTTAGTCATGCTTTTTTATCCATCGTGTAGGTATGTTTATTATTTTGACGTATTCAGTTATGTACCTATTCAGACAAGTTCAGTACTAAGTTATTAAACAAAAAATTAGGTATGAAACAGCTTACCGATTTAAATCCTCCGTGGCCTTATGAGATTCTCTAAGATATTATTAAAACAAAACGAGAAACACAAAACGCAACAACAAGAATAATAACAACAAGAATTTAATAAACAAAACGATCGAACTGTCGCTTACGCGCACGTGATAGTTAACACATAACTTTCTCAAAAACTAAAATTAATAATCAATCCCGCCAAAGCAAATAAATACCTCGTGCGTCGTAACATCCTTGAAGCACTGATCAATTCCACAGACCGTTAAACCGTTACGACATTGCCAACGTTTATTTTATTTATAAGTTTAGATATCACTACGACTAGTCTTCATATGAAATTTAGAAGTAATGGTTGTCATTTTTAATACAATTACACAATTAATTGTACCCTGACCTGAAAAATTATATTGAAATTAATAAACGTACCTAATTGGGTACTCAGTACTCACTTACACAATTATAAACACTATTTCATCGTTATCTTTGTATTTTGTATAAGAAAATAGAAAGGAAATGTTACTAAATAATTTAATAGATAAAATCAATTGCAATTATGGTCGACAGTTAATTAATCTATCAAAATTAATGTAGAAAATAATACTTTTACTTTATTTTAATTGACTTTCCATATTTAATCCGACCAATACTTTGAATTTAAAAAGAGGTACGTCAAAATTATTAAAAATTACTTGCAAGTTTTATAGAGATTGCCGCCTCTCATTCTTATGTCGCCGGCAAACAAATCTTAGTAGGTAAATTTCGGTGCAACATGGCATCGTTGCCAATACCAATTTGTCAAATTCTCCGAAAATCCATGTCAAATTCCCCAATTTAAGGACAAACTTATTTTAAGAAATTAAGCAATTTTCAAATAATTTTATAAGATTTATTTTTAACTAAAAATTTTTTATTTTTACCAATTTTTTTTTCACACCACATTTTTGTAACAAGTATTGTCTAGTTGTTAAATAAATATCCACATTATTGTAGATTAAACTAATATCAATTCATTGTAAAAAGATAGCTTCATAGTTTCCAACAACATTTAACACGGTATACAGTACGATTATTTTAGTTATAAAAACTCTCCATAGATGGCGCTATCCCTTTGTAAATCGCGCAACCAATTGATTCTCTTCGGAATCACAAGTTAAATATGTTATTGATGATTATGCAGAATTAGATTACTTTAACGAGGATTTTTACACCAAAACAGAAGGCTTATACGCAGATTATAAAACAGAATTAAAAGTAAGCTTGGAAAAATGTACTCGCGTACCGACCAAAACGCAGGACACGTTGCGTAGCAATGAAGAACAAATTAGTGTGCAGCTTCCAAAGGTTTCTATACCTAGTTTCTCCGGAAGGTACTCAGAGTGGACCACGTTTCGTGACCTCTTCTTATCACTCATTCACAATAATAATTCGTTACAAAAGGTGCAAAAACTTCACTACCTAAAAAGCTATTTAACCGGTGAAGCGGAACAACTATTGCGAAATCTACCAATAACAAGTGACAATTATTCAGTGTGTTGGGATCTTTTGCAGAAAAGATTTAACAATAAGAAGTATGTAACTAACTGTATTTTAAAAAGGTTTTTTAGCCAAAAAAATATTATTCATGAAAATTCAAGTGCTCTTAAAGAAATGTTTGATACTACTAACGAGTGTTTAAATGCGTTGAAAAATACTGGTGTGAACACTGAAAATTGGGATATTATTGTGATTTATCTTTTGTCCTCAAAATTAGATAGTGAATCTCGCAAGCAGTGGGAAGCAAAAATTTGTGACTGTACAAACGACTTGCCCACATTAAAGCAATTTTTAGAGTTTTTAGAACACAGGTACAGATCACTCGAATTTTTGAATCCTAAAATCACAAAATGTACTCAATCCCATCATGTAGCCACAAAAAATAATGACAAGGTATCTGTTCCATGTTCCTACTGTTCTGCTAATGATCATAAGCTAGGAAATTGTAAGAAGTTCGCAAATGAAACTCTATTAGCACGCCGTAACTTTGCCCAAACATCCAACTTGTGTTTTAACTGCTTAGGCGCAAATCATTCGGTCATAATGTGTCGTTTGCCCACCAGATGTAGAATTTGCAAAAAGAAACACCACTCGCTATTGCATTCAACCACCACCAACGTTCAATCAAATAATGTAAAGGTAACCACTCAATCGAATAGTAACAATGTTGTCGCGGCAACAGCGACAACATCAGACGAAAATGATCAGACCAACATTACCACTTGTTTCTCTAACAACAAGAGTCAAGTGCTTTTAGCAACCGCTTTAGTAAAAGCTGAAACAAACAACGGATCTTTTATGACACTTAGGTCTTTACTGGACCAAGGATCACAGGCTTCGTTTATAACGGAGTCTGCAGTCCAATTACTTGGGCTGAAGAAGGAAACAAGCAAAAGTGTCATATTTGGAGTAGGGAGTGAGTGCAACTCTAAACATGTAGTACACATCAAACTACAATCGATCCATGATCCAACTTTCAACATTAAAGTGAGTGCACACGTGCTCACCAAACTTACCACATTTCTTCCTGAACGACAGGTTGACATACAGCTATATTATATGCCAAAAATGAGGTTGGCAGATCCAAATTTCAACGTTCCAAACAAAATAGACTTGCTGTTGGGTGCTGAGGTCTATTGTCAAATATTATTAGAAGGGTTATTTAAAGATCCAATAGAAACCCCTATAGCGCAAAACACTAGACTCGGCTGGATTTTGTCGGGCCAAGTATCTGAAGGTCGTAAAACGGAATCAAGCTGTAGTAACTCCGTAACCACTTTACACACTCAAGTTATCGAAGAAGAATTTGATCTTAAACAATTTTGGGAAATCGAATCTGATCAATGTCTTCTCAACAAAACTCACCACACAGCTGAGGAACAAAGATGTGAGGAATTCTATAAGAAAACCACCAAAAGAGACCCTTCAGGACGATATATCGTCAAACTACCATTCAAGATGGAAAACCCGAGCTGCAAATCGGGGAATTCGCGGGAAATTGCAGTGAGCAGATTCCTTATGCAAGAAAAGCGTTTAGTACGGTCACCACAGCTTAAAGATCTCTATTCCGACGTTATTGATGAGTACCTGGAACATGGCCACATGGAAAAGGTACCAAAAGATGAGATCAACAAATCAGATAGTGTGTACTTACCTCATCACGCCGTAGTGAAGCTTAACAAGACAACATCCAAACTGAGAGTTGTCTTCGATGCTTCGTGTCGCGATAACAACGGTGTATCTCTCAACAGTGAATTGATGATAGGTCCAACTCTTCAATCGGATCTGCGTCACTTGGTGATGAGATGGAGACTTCACCCTGTATGTTTGGTCGCCGACATAGTTAAAATGTACCGCCAAATATTGATTTCTAGTGAAGATATAGATTACCAGCGATTGGTTTGGCGAGCCACGACGGAACAACTTATTGAACATTTTCGATTGTTGCGAGTCACGTTTGGCACTGCTGCAGCTCCATATCTCGCAGTTAGAACACTGCACCAGCTCGTGTATGATGACGGAAAACCGTTTCCATTAGCATCTGAAAGAATCTTAAATGATTTTTATATGGATGACTTACTTACTGGCTGCGAAACAGTCCTGGAAGGAAAACAAATCTATAAAGAGATCAACGAATTACTGAGCAAAGGGGGGTTTGAACTTCAGAAATGGTCAAGCAACAATGAAACTCTGTTAAAGGAAATAAGCAAAGAAATAGAAACAACAGAAAGCAATTTGGAACTCAAAATAGATGAATTCATTAAAATACTCGGACTTACCTGGAATCGACGTACCGACAACTTCGAATACTCCGTGCAGCTACCGCCACTCGTAGAACCTATAACAAAAAGAAAGGTTATATCAGATATTGCAAGACTGTTTGATCCTATGGGATGGATTGCTCCAGCCATTATAAAAGCAAAAATCTTCATTCAACAGCTGTGGCTAGCGGGAATCGGTTGGGATGAAGAGCTCCCACCGAAACTACTCAATGATTGGATATCTTACCGAGGTGAACTTACGGCACTTACACAATTTCGTCTGCCGCGCTGGATTGGTATGAACAAGACATGTATGAAACTGGAGTTACACGGATTCAGTGACGCCTCTGCGGATGCGTATGCTGCTGTAGTTTACGCCCGCTTGGTAGATGAATCTGGAACTGTCAGGGTTACTCTCATTACGTGTAAAAACCAAGGTAGCCCCAATAAAGCAAGTGTCTGTCCCGAGGCTAGAGTTGTGCGGCGCCGTTCTTTTGGCGAGATTATTAAGGGAAGTCTCTGAAGTTTTGAAAGTACCGAAGACAAATCTACATGCATGGACGGACTCCATAATCGTTTTGGCTTGGTTGAGCAGTCATCCAAGCCGCTGGAAGACGTTCATTGCAAATCGAGTTTCAGAAATTTTGAACATTTGGAACAGAGATCAGTGGTCACATGTGTCATCTACTGACAACCCGGCAGATTGCGCTTCCCGTGGAGTCAACCCGTCGGAATGTGAAGCAATTCCCCTCTGGAAAGCTGGACCTGCATGGTTAAAGGACACGAATATGGAATATAACAGGAAGGAGTTAAGCGACACTGATTTGGAAGAGAAAGGAAAGAAAGTTTGTCATGTGACCAGGGAAGATGAATTTGAATTATGGATTAAGTTTTCGTCTTTACAGAAATTGACCAGAGTTATAGCTTATTGTTTGAGATTTATATCAAAGACGAAAAAATCTACTGAAGCAACAACATTTCCCAGTTGGTTAACTTGCAGAGAACTATCAAGAGCAATTCAAATCAGCATAAAGGCGTGTCAAGCTACGTACTTTGCACAGGAAATCAAAGATATTAAGTTTAGAGGTGTAGTTAATAAGAAAAGCAAACTTACCACTTTGACCCCTTTCCTGGATGGTGAAGGAATTTTGAGAGTTGGTGGTCGTCTTGAGAGAGCTGATGTAAGTGATGATAAAAAACACCCGATTATCCTGCCATCGAAATCGCATTTCACAAATCTTATCATTGCAGATGCCCATCAAAGAACCCTACACGGAGGTCCTCAATTGATGATCAACTACCTACGATCCAAATATTGGATCCTCGATGTAAAAAATCCTACCAAATTATTTGTACGCAAATGTGTCACATGTATACGATATGCAGCACAATGTAGACACCAACTCATGGGACAACTACCTGTAGCTCGGGTCACTCCAATCCGCCCATTCTATCAAAGCGGCGTGGATTATGCTGGACCCATCCAGATAAGGACTTCTAAAGGAAGAGGTCATCGAGCGTACAAGGGATATATATGCCTATTCGTATGTATGGCTACAAGAGCCGTACATTTGGAAGCCGTAACCGATCTTACGTCACAGGGATTCCTCGCAGCCTTCAAAAGGTTTGTTTCTAGACGTGGCCATTGCGCTAATCTCTACAGCGATAATGGAACAAATTTTGTGGGTGCTGCGCGCGAGCTAAGAACCCTAGTAGCTCAGGAAAATTCAACAATGACGAGAGAAATCGCTGAGAGTTTAGCTACTGCTGGGACCAACTGGCATTTTATCCCACCGAGAGCTCCTCACTTTGGTGGACTTTGGGAGAGTGGGATAAAGTCCACAAAACATCACCTGAAGCGTGTGATCGGCACAGAGACCCTAACTTACGAGGAGATATCTACTCTGCTGTATCAAATTGAGGCATGTCTTAACTCTAGGCCGTTGTCACAGGTTAGCACCAATGCACAAGATCCAACACCTCTCACACCGGGACATTTTATCATCGGTGAACCCTTGGTGCTTGTCTCAGATGCCAATTATGGAACTTCATCAATATCTTCTCTGAAACGCTGGCAACTAACCCAGAAAATGTTACAGAACTTCTGGCGAAGGTGGTCTAGCGAATATTTGACTCAGTTTCTGCAACGTCACCGGTGGGCAAACCAAACACCAGAGCCTAAAATTGGGGACTTAGTTTTAGCTAAGGAGGATGATCTTCCTCCAGCGAAATGGCTAATGGGTATTATTACAGAAAAACATAAGGGTGTGGACAATATTACGCGGGTTGTGAGTCTCAAATGCAAAGATGCCATAATTAAAAGGCCTATTGTAAAATTGTGTGTCTTGCCAGTGGCAGAATAATGCCTACTTTTTTTATTCTCTTTCGTGTCAGTCAATGCTTGACACGTTTATTGTTATTTTCAAGCTTAAGTTGTTTTTTGTTTGGTGAAATGAGCATGTTGTAAATGTAAATGTTTAAATTAAATATCTTTGGATTCTTTATTTAATAAGATTTCTAGGATTTTAAATATCCTATTTACCTATTTGTTTTTTGTTACCTATGCACCATGATTCAACCATTTGAATCTACCCACTTTCATATTTTACCTTATCTATTTACAGTCCACTTTCGTTGATTGTTGATTCATGGTGGGCGGGAATAATGACCATTCTGGCCATGGTGGGCGGAATGTCTAGTTGTTAAATAAATATCCACATTGTTGTAGATTAAACTAATATCAATTCATTGTAAACAGATAGCTTCATAGTTTCCAACAACATTTAACACGGTATACAGTACGATTATTTTAGTTATAAAAACTCTCCATAGATGGCGCTATCCCTTTGTAAATCGCGCAACCAATTGATTCTCTTCGGAATCACAAGTTAAATATGTTATAGAAATAAATGGTCTGTTCTCGTCAATGAATGTTGGTGTTTTATTCAAGTATTTTGCTTCATGGAGTATTTTTAATTCAGTATCTGCATTTATATGCATGCGGTTCTCTGCTTTTAAAATTAAAAAAAAAATAAGAAAATGGCATTAAATGATACACAAAAGTTGCCGAAAAAAAATTTAAATATGGTGCAATGAAGATATTTAAAAAAAGGGAGTCATTCGATATTCATAAGCAACCTGACAAAAATGTTAAAATAAGTATATCGATTTTCAAAATTCCCGCATTTTCACCGCATAATATCAATCCCATTCGTTAAATTCCCCGCAATTTGGGGAATTTCCCATATATTGGCAACGCTGACGCGAGGTGACACGAGTCGGCCGGAGTTTTGGCGGGAAATTGACCGGCGGCGGTTTGCTGCTCCTGTATTATTGTTTAAATAATGGTTCGAAGTGGACTTTGATATGTAAAAGTGTTGCGATTTTGTGTATTAAGTGTCTACGCATGTGAACTATTAGTGGAAACAGTGAAACAAGTGCTCTGATGGTGATGGATTCTCAAGATAAGCTGTTTGTTTGCATAGGCACCTTTAGATACCATCGCCAACTATCAGCTGTCTGCTGGATCAAGTTGCCGCCAAAATCTCCCAAAAACTGCACAATGTGACGCATCAACATATTGTGAAGCAGTATACTATGAAGGAGTGGGGAAATTACAATAAACCGAATAAAAATACTTAAGACTTGGCCTAAAGGTCTAGATACCAGGCCATAAACTCCAAAAAAAAAAAAACACGAGTCGGCCGGGCGGCGGCAGCGCGTGGTACGAAGGGGGCGCGACGGGGGAATGCTCGCCAGTATTACTGTGCGCGCACGCTATTGGTTCCTCATTCTTCCTACGCTTTGAAAATTCGATGTTTTCCAAAATACAGTCGCACACACAGCTTTCTTTGCACGACGATGGTTTTAAAAAGGAAGGAAAGACAAATTAATTATATCTATTGTTTTATGACTGAACAAGTGAACGAAAAGGTAAATATGATAGGAGAAGGTGATTGGGGAAAATTGTGCAGTAAAGTTAAAAGTATTGAGGAAGAATACCGAAAAAATCACCATGTGGTTGACCTGATGACGGAAACATTTATCATTCGCATTGATGATAATGATTCTGATGACGGAAGCTCAAGCGAAGATGAAAGTGATGATGAAGTAGCATCCAGTAACACCAGCACACCGTCGAAATCTGGCTTTCATGTGACCCAAGACGATATAATGGACGGCGTGTCACCCCTAGCTTAAGTTTTCTTGTTACAAACTACTTTATATTTTACGAAAGAAATAAAAAATAAAGCTCAAGTAAACATTATCCATTTTTAATTCCAACCTCTCTTAAAGTTCTAAGTAGCTAGTAAAGTACCTATTATGATTCTACAATAAAACCGTTAATTACTATTATAATATTATAAAACAATAGCCTAGTACCATGTAGTACTTTAGAACGTGACTGTACCTATGCGCAGACACACCCCTCCATTGTCGCTCAGCGTTCTTTTTACTTGACGGGACCTGTACCGAGCTAGATAAAAGAGTTTAACTTCGACGCGAATATTGACCCTTGTCAGCTGATTTTATGATTTATTTATTTTAAATTCCACTGCTGGTTTAATGTTAAAGTATTTTCATGATTTTTTTTTATGAAATTATCGTTTTATTTAGCTGTACTAACACGATGGAGCGTGAATAAAGCTAATAAAACGTTGTGAAAAGATGATATTGTTTTCATCAGGATCGATTTTAAAGGTATAGTTAGTACTATCGTCTGTCTTCATTTTCGTTTCACAAACACCCGGTATACATTTGAATTTCTATGTGCCAATTGGAATTGTTGAGATAAAAACTTAGTAGGGGTAACGTTTTCTGAAAATAAATAAAATGTATGATACGCACCAGGTGCATCCACTTCGTGCCTGAGTGCAACGAGGACGAGGGTGAGAAGGGGGCGAATGGGGCTAGTGGGACGGGTGGGGCGGAGGGGTGCGAGGCGCAGTCGTGGGCGCTGGGCAGCGTGGCGCGCGTGGCGGCGCGACGCTGGTGCCTGCAGGAGCGCGGCGCCGAGCTGTTCCTGCTGTCCGGCCACGCGCACCTGCTGGCTTTCCCCGACACGCCCGAGCGCGACGCCTTCCTGCACGCGCTCCTAGCTGCTCACCTGCCCAACAGGTACGTACACATACCCATTGCCTGCAGGATCGGCGCCGAGCTGTTCCTGCTGTCCGGCCACGCGCACCTGCTGGCTTTCCCCGACACGCCCGAGCGCGACGCCTTCCTGCACGCGCTCCTAGCTGCTCACCTGCCCAACAGGTACGTACACATACCCATTGCCTGCAGGATCGGCGCCGAGCTGTTCCTGCTGTCCGGCCACGCGCACCTGCTGGCTTTCCCCGACACGCCCGAGCGCGACGCCTTCCTGCACGCGCTCCTAGCTGCTCACCTGCCCAACAGGTACGTACACATACCCATTGCCTGCAGGATCGGCGCCGAGCTGTTCCTGCTGTCCGGCCACGCGCACCTGCTGGCTTTCCCCGACACGCCCGAGCGCGACGCCTTCCTGCACGCGCTCCTAGCTGCTCACCTGCCCAACAGGTACGTACACATACCCATTGCCTGCAGGATCGGCGCCGAGCTGTTCCTGCTGTCCGGCCACGCGCACCTGCTGGCTTTCCCCGACACGCCCGAGCGCGACGCCTTCCTGCACGCGCTCCTAGCTGCTCACCTGCCCAACAGGTACGTACACATACCCATTGCCTGCAGGATCGGCGCCGAGCTGTTCCTGCTGTCCGGCCACGCGCACCTGCTGGCTTTCCCCGACACGCCCGAGCGCGACGCCTTCCTGCACGCGCTCCTAGCTGCTCACCTGCCCAACAGGTACGTACACATACCCATTGCCTGCAGGATCGGCGCCGAGCTGTTCCTGCTGTCCGGCCACGCGCACCTGCTGGCTTTCCCCGACACGCCCGAGCGCGACGCCTTCCTGCACGCGCTCCTAGCTGCTCACCTGCCCAACAGGTACGTACACATACCCATTGCCTGCAGGATCGGCGCCGAGCTGTTCCTGCTGTCCGGCCACGCGCACCTGCTGGCTTTCCCCGACACGCCCGAGCGCGACGCCTTCCTGCACGCGCTCCTAGCTGCTCACCTGCCCAACAGGTACGTACACATACCCATTGCCTGCAGGATCGGCGCCGAGCTGTTCCTGCTGTCCGGCCACGCGCACCTGCTGGCTTTCCCCGACACGCCCGAGCGCGACGCCTTCCTGCACGCGCTCCTAGCTGCTCACCTGCCCAACAGGTACGTACACATACCCATTGCCTGCAGGATCGGCGCCGAGCTGTTCCTGCTGTCCGGCCACGCGCACCTGCTGGCTTTCCCCGACACGCCCGAGCGCGACGCCTTCCTGCACGCGCTCCTAGCTGCTCACCTGCCCAACAGGTACGTACACATACCCATTGCCTGCAGGATCGGCGCCGAGCTGTTCCTGCTGTCCGGCCACGCGCACCTGCTGGCTTTCCCCGACACGCCCGAGCGCGACGCCTTCCTGCACGCGCTCCTAGCTGCTCACCTGCCCAACAGGTACGTACACATACCCATTGCCTGCAGGATCGGCGCCGAGCTGTTCCTGCTGTCCGGCCACGCGCACCTGCTGGCTTTCCCCGACACGCCCGAGCGCGACGCCTTCCTGCACGCGCTCCTAGCTGCTCACCTGCCCAACAGGTACGTACACATACCCATTGCCTGCAGGATCGGCGCCGAGCTGTTCCTGCTGTCCGGCCACGCGCACCTGCTGGCTTTCCCCGACACGCCCGAGCGCGACGCCTTCCTGCACGCGCTCCTAGCTGCTCACCTGCCCAACAGGTACGTACACATACCCATTGCCTGCAGGATCGGCGCCGAGCTGTTCCTGCTGTCCGGCCACGCGCACCTGCTGGCTTTCCCCGACACGCCTGAGCGCGACGCCTTCCTGCACGCGCTCCTAGCTGCTCACCTGCCCAACAGGTACGTACACATACCCATTGCCTGCAGGATCGGCGCCGAGCTGTTCCTGCTGTCCGGCCACGCGCACCTGCTGGCTTTCCCCGACACGCCCGAGCGCGACGCCTTCCTGCACGCGCTCCTAGCTGCTCACCTGCCCAACAGGTACGTACACATACCCATTGCCTGCAGGATCGGCGCCGAGCTGTTCCTGCTGTCCGGCCACGCGCACCTGCTGGCTTTCCCCGACACGCCCGAGCGCGACGCCTTCCTGCACGCGCTCCTAGCTGCTCACCTGCCCAACAGGTACGTACACATACCCATTGCCTGCAGGATCGGCGCCGAGCTGTTCCTGCTGTCCGGCCACGCGCACCTGCTGGCTTTCCCCGACACGCCCGAGCGCGACGCCTTCCTGCACGCGCTCCTAGCTGCTCACCTGCCCAACAGGTACGTACACATACCCATTGCCTGCAGGATCGGCGCCGAGCTGTTCCTGCTGTCCGGCCACGCGCACCTGCTGGCTTTCCCCGACACGCCCGAGCGCGACGCCTTCCTGCACGCGCTCCTAGCTGCTCACCTGCCCAACAGGTACGTACACATACCCATTGCCTGCAGGATCGGCGCCGAGCTGTTCCTGCTGTCCGGCCACGCGCACCTGCTGGCTTTCCCCGACACGCCCGAGCGCGACGCCTTCCTGCACGCGCTCCTAGCTGCTCACCTGCCCAACAGGTACGTACACATACCCATTGCCTGCAGGATCGGCGCCGAGCTGTTCCTGCTGTCCGGCCACGCGCACCTGCTGGCTTTCCCCGACACGCCCGAGCGCGACGCCTTCCTGCACGCGCTCCTAGCTGCTCACCTGCCCAACAGGTACGTACACATACCCATTGCCTGCAGGATCGGCGCCGAGCTGTTCCTGCTGTCCGGCCACGCGCACCTGCTGGCTTTCCCCGACACGCCCGAGCGCGACGCCTTCCTGCACGCGCTCCTAGCTGCTCACCTGCCCAACAGGTACGTACACATACCCATTGCCTGCAGGATCGGCGCCGAGCTGTTCCTGCTGTCCGGCCACGCGCACCTGCTGGCTTTCCCCGACACGCCCGAGCGCGACGCCTTCCTGCACGCGCTCCTAGCTGCTCACCTGCCCAACAGGTACGTACACATACCCATTGCCTGCAGGATCGGCGCCGAGCTGTTCCTGCTGTCCGGCCACGCGCACCTGCTGGCTTTCCCCGACACGCCCGAGCGCGACGCCTTCCTGCACGCGCTCCTAGCTGCTCACCTGCCCAACAGGTACGTACACATACCCATTGCCTGCAGGATCGGCGCCGAGCTGTTCCTGCTGTCCGGCCACGCGCACCTGCTGGCTTTCCCCGACACGCCCGAGCGCGACGCCTTCCTGCACGCGCTCCTAGCTGCTCACCTGCCCAACAGGTACGTACACATACCCATTGCCTGCAGGATCGGCGCCGAGCTGTTCCTGCTGTCCGGCCACGCGCACCTGCTGGCTTTCCCCGACACGCCCGAGCGCGACGCCTTCCTGCACGCGCTCCTAGCTGCTCACCTGCCCAACAGGTACGTACACATACCCATTGCCTGCAGGATCGGCGCCGAGCTGTTCCTGCTGTCCGGCCACGCGCACCTGCTGGCTTTCCCCGACACGCCCGAGCGCGACGCCTTCCTGCACGCGCTCCTAGCTGCTCACCTGCCCAACAGGTACGTACACATACCCATTGCCTGCAGGATCGGCGCCGAGCTGTTCCTGCTGTCCGGCCACGCGCACCTGCTGGCTTTCTCCGACACGCCCGAGCGCGACGCCTTCCTGCACGCGCTCCTAGCTGCTCACCTGCCCAACAGGTACGTACACATACCCATTGCCTGCAGGATCGGCGCCGAGCTGTTCCTGCTGTCCGGCCACGCGCACCTGCTGGCTTTCCCCGACACGCCCGAGCGCGACGCCTTCCTGCACGCGCTCCTAGCTGCTCACCTGCCCAACAGGTACGTACACATACCCATTGCCTGCAGGATCGGCGCCGAGCTGTTCCTGCTGTCCGGCCACGCGCACCTGCTGGCTTTCCCCGACACGCCCGAGCGCGACGCCTTCCTGCACGCGCTCCTAGCTGCTCACCTGCCCAACAGGTACGTACACATACCCATTGCCTGCAGGATCGGCGCCGAGCTGTTCCTGCTGTCCGGCCACGCGCACCTGCTGGCTTTCCCCGACACGCCCGAGCGCGACGCCTTCCTGCACGCGCTCCTAGCTGCTCACCTGCCCAACAGGTACGTACACATACCCATTGCCTGCAGGATCGGCGCCGAGCTGTTCCTGCTGTCCGGCCACGCGCACCTGCTGGCTTTCCCCGACACGCCCGAGCGCGACGCCTTCCTGCACGCGCTCCTAGCTGCTCACCTGCCCAACAGGTACGTACACATACCCATTGCCTGCAGGATCGGCGCCGAGCTGTTCCTGCTGTCCGGCCACGCGCACCTGCTGGCTTTCCCCGACACGCCCGAGCGCGACGCCTTCCTGCACGCGCTCCTAGCTGCTCACCTGCCCAACAGGTACGTACACATACCCATTGCCTGCAGGATCGGCGCCGAGCTGTTCCTGCTGTCCGGCCACGCGCACCTGCTGGCTTTCCCCGACACGCCCGAGCGCGACGCCTTCCTGCACGCGCTCCTAGCTGCTCACCTGCCCAACAGGTACGTACACATACCCATTGCCTGCAGGATCGGCGCCGAGCTGTTCCTGCTGTCCGGCCACGCGCACCTGCTGGCTTTCCCCGACACGCCCGAGCGCGACGCCTTCCTGCACGCGCTCCTAGCTGCTCACCTGCCCAACAGGTACGTACACATACCCATTGCCTGCAGGATCGGCGCCGAGCTGTTCCTGCTGTCCGGCCACGCGCACCTGCTGGCTTTCCCCGACACGCCCGAGCGCGACGCCTTCCTGCACGCGCTCCTAGCTGCTCACCTGCCCAACAGGTACGTACACATACCCATTGCCTGCAGGATCGGCGCCGAGCTGTTCCTGCTGTCCGGCCACGCGCACCTGCTGGCTTTCCCCGACACGCCCGAGCGCGACGCCTTCCTGCACGCGCTCCTAGCTGCTCACCTGCCCAACAGGTACGTACACATACCCATTGCCTGCAGGATCGGCGCCGAGCTGTTCCTGCTGTCCGGCCACGCGCACCTGCTGGCTTTCCCCGACACGCCCGAGCGCGACGCCTTCCTGCACGCGCTCCTAGCTGCTCACCTGCCCAACAGGTACGTACACATACCCATTGCCTGCAGGATCGGCGCCGAGCTGTTCCTGCTGTCCGGCCACGCGCACCTGCTGGCTTTCCCCGACACGCCCGAGCGCGACGCCTTCCTGCACGCGCTCCTAGCTGCTCACCTGCCCAACAGGTACGTACACATACCCATTGCCTGCAGGATCGGCGCCGAGCTGTTCCTGCTGTCCGGCCACGCGCACCTGCTGGCTTTCCCCGACACGCCCGAGCGCGACGCCTTCCTGCACGCGCTCCTAGCTGCTCACCTGCCCAACAGGTACGTACACATACCCATTGCCTGCAGGATCGGCGCCGAGCTGTTCCTGCTGTCCGGCCACGCGCACCTGCTGGCTTTCCCCGACACGCCCGAGCGCGACGCCTTCCTGCACGCGCTCCTAGCTGCTCACCTGCCCAACAGGTACGTACACATACCCATTGCCTGCAGGATCGGCGCCGAGCTGTTCCTGCTGTCCGGCCACGCGCACCTGCTGGCTTTCCCCGACACGCCCGAGCGCGACGCCTTCCTGCACGCGCTCCTAGCTGCACACCTGCCCAACAGGTACGTACACATACCCATTGCCTGCAGGATCGGCGCCGAGCTGTTCCTGCTGTCCGGCCACGCGCACCTGCTGGCTTTCCCCGACACGCCCGAGCGCGACGCCTTCCTGCACGCGCTCCTAGCTGCTCACCTGCCCAACAGGTACGTACACATACCCATTGCCTGCAGGATCGGCGCCGAGCTGTTCCTGCTGTCCGGCCACGCGCACCTGCTGGCTTTCCCCGACACGCCCGAGCGCGACGCCTTCCTGCACGCGCTCCTAGCTGCTCACCTGCCCAACAGGTACGTACACATACCCATTGCCTGCAGGATCGGCGCCGAGCTGTTCCTGCTGTCCGGCCACGCGCACCTGCTGGCTTTCCCCGACACGCCCGAGCGCGACGCCTTCCTGCACGCGCTCCTAGCTGCTCACCTGCCCAACAGGTACGTACACATACCCATTGCCTGCAGGATCGGCGCCGAGCTGTTCCTGCTGTCCGGCCACGCGCACCTGCTGGCTTTCCCCGACACGCCCGAGCGCGACGCCTTCCTGCACGCGCTCCTAGCTGCTCACCTGCCCAACAGGTACGTACACATACCCATTGCCTGCAGGATCGGCGCCGAGCTGTTCCTGCTGTCCGGCCACGCGCACCTGCTGGCTTTCCCCGACACGCCCGAGCGCGACGCCTTCCTGCACGCGCTCCTAGCTGCTCACCTGCCCAACAGGTACGTACACATACCCATTGCCTGCAGGATCGGCGCCGAGCTGTTCCTGCTGTCCGGCCACGCGCACCTGCTGGCTTTCCCCGACACGCCCGAGCGCGACGCCTTCCTGCACGCGCTCCTAGCTGCTCACCTGCCCAACAGGTACGTACACATACCCATTGCCTGCAGGATCGGCGCCGAGCTGTTCCTGCTGTCCGGCCACGCGCACCTGCTGGCTTTCCCCGACACGCCCGAGCGCGACGCCTTCCTGCACGCGCTCCTAGCTGCTCACCTGCCCAACAGGTACGTACACATACCCATTGCCTGCAGGATCGGCGCCGAGCTGTTCCTGCTGTCCGGCCACGCGCACCTGCTGGCTTTCCCCGACACGCCCGAGCGCGACGCCTTCCTGCACGCGCTCCTAGCTGCTCACCTGCCCAACAGGTACGTACACATACCCATTGCCTGCAGGATCGGCGCCGAGCTGTTTCTGCTGTCCGGCCGGGACCACATGAGAAGCACCAGCTTTCTAATAAAAAAAGAATCATCAAAATCGGTTCACTTAGAACAAAGTTATGAGGTAACACACATAAAAAACACATACAGTTAAATTGAGTACCGTCTCCTTTTTGAAATCGGTAGAAAAGAATATAAAACTATAAGTGAGGAAGCTGAGAAAACAATAACAAGAATTACGCAATCGTAATTACGAATTTGCATGATTATCTAACATGCGTCAACTCCCGAATCTGTAAGCGAGTGAAGGGCACAACAACACGGTAAGAATGTGCTCAATGTTTAAGCACTGACGTAACTTCTGAAGGTTGCCGAAGTATTACGGCGGACACATGTGTAGCACGATTTAATACACAGTCGATACTCCTAAAAGGGCAAACAAACAAGTGGTACACCTGATAGTAAATGACTACCGCCGCCCATGAACAACTACATTACATTAATAAAAATCATGAAGTGAAAGGAGTACGTTTAAATCCTATGTAATATATACATTTATTACAGGACAGAGCAAGAAAGCTTATCAGAAGTGATGAACCAATGGCGAAACGGCACCATCACCAACTGGGAATACCTGATGGCGCTAAACGGTCTCGCCGGACGGTCTTACAACGATCTGATGCAGTACCCCGTGTTCCCCTTCATCATCGCCGACTACACCTCCAAGATCCTCGACCTCAACGACCCCGCCTCGTTTCGGGACCTCAGCAAACCCATGGCTGTACAAAACAAGAATAGAGAGCAACATTACATAAATACTTATAACGTAAGTTATTAAGGTTGCTGTGATGAGGCCTGGCTTTTCTCGTTCGAAGGCTATAGCCATTCAGCGATGAAACGCAGTTAGCGTTCTTGATGATATACCGCGGGGAATAGGACTATAACTTTTTAGTGTTAGCTTTTTTTTTCCAATTTAAATATTGTATATTATTGTTACTACAGGAGTTAAATTAGTACTCAAACCTATCCGCACCTGACATAGGTTTTGTACGAGCTGCTGTGCTGTACAATCTTAGAAGTTGACAGAAATGATAAAGACTGGAACTGATTATGTAATTTATTCTGATATTATTGATAGTGAGTAAAATGCGCGACGGCGAATGATTGCGTTCTGAATTGATGAGAATGAAAAATGATACAATAAGATAAAAATGCTGATGTGCAGAAATGTTTGGTTTGTAAAGACCGTACATGCCGTTGAACGGTACATACAATACAACTCATCTTTCGTACCAGTGAACGGTACATTCAATACAACTCATCTTTCGTGCCAGTGAACGGTACATTCAATACAACTCATCTTTCGTGCCAGTGAACGGTACATTCAATACAACTCATCTTTCGTGCCAGTGAACGGTACATTCAATACAACTCATCTTTCGTGCCAGTGAACGGTACATTCAATACAACTCATCTTTCGTGCCAGTGAACGGTACATTCAATACAACTCATCTTTCGTGCCAGTGAACGGTACATTCAATACAACTCATCTTTCGTGCCAGTGAACGGTACATTCAATACAACTCATCTTTCGTGCCAGTGAACGGTACATTCAATACAACTCATCTTTCGTACCAGTGAACGGTACATTCAATACAACTCATCTTTCGTGCCAGTGAACGGTACATTCAATACAACTCATCTTTCGTGCCAGTGAACGGTACATTCAATACAACTCATCTTTCGTGCCAGTGAACGGTACGTTCAATACAACTCATCTTTCGCTTTGAGCGGGCGCTTGTATACGTGCGGTGCATCTGCGGCGTAGGCTCCGCAAAGCCAACAATGCTGATGCTAATGTAGCTGCTCCCACCAGAAGATAAATAACCACATATTGATGTAGGTCGTGGGTTGATAACTCATCTGCCAACTCTGTGTCAGTGTCACTTGTCTTCAGCTGTTCTATTTGGTGTCCATTACTTGACAAGTGTTTTTGACACGTCGACCGAGGGTTAGGGGAAAAGGGAGAAAAACCGGCGGACAATGCGGGCGGTATCGAGGAGCACCGCCTTCTGCATTTGAGCTTAGAGCGATCCGTCACGGAGTCCCAGTCGCCTCAGATGACCCGAGAGGCTGACTGGGATTAACCCGTTCACAGAAACGACTACAGGTATAATTTCGTTCGGTAGTCCACCCCACATGTCGGTCACCTCGTGAGCCAGATCCAGTTATTTTGTTCGCTTATCTGTTTCGGCTTTCACGAGGTTCTCGTGATACGGAATGGTAATGTCGAAAAATATCCTTGATTGTGCCCGGTTCATCAGCACAATATATCAAGCTTATTCGCAAGAATGGTCCTGTCTGTGATGATGGCCCGGTCATTTTCAAGCTCGACAGATGTCGACGGCGCCATCCTTTAGGATGTATTTCCGATAGTTGTTGGTCTTAATATCCTGATCCTGTATCGGACAAAACCCTCGGTTTCCCCAAAGAGGTCACCAAAACGTAGCCAGTGGAGAGACGCAGCTGTGTCTATGAAATGCTCATGTAGAGCCTTGTAGAACCTCCCGTGGAGCTCCTTCTCCTTCTATACGGTCTCCCGGTCGGAAAAGCACTGTACTGCTGGGTCTTGCCATCGCTCGTTGACTAAGGATAGAGGAGTAAGCCCTTTATCACACGAAATGACGTCGCTGTAGAATGGATCATCTGATCTCGCCAGAAAGTAATTACGGAGGCTGCACACTTCGCGATTATGCATGGTGAGAGCGCTCTAAAAGCCGTGGCCACCATGTTTCCGCGGCAAGTACAGCCTCATTACTGACTATCTCGGGTGATGGATCCTGTGGGACGTCATAACAGTGCGGACTTTTCTATGCAGAGCGTTCAGTTCGGTCTGAGTCTACTTGAGTATGCCGAAGGTATATATGAGGACAGGCATGACCCAACCGTTATACGCGTGGGTCTTATTCACGCCTGACAAAAGACTGTTCAGCACTTTGGTCAAGCGTGCATAAAACACATCGCAAACTGACAATTTCATATCCGCCTCATCGATACTTATGTTCTGTGACATACCTAGGTATCGTATGTTTCAGCCTCGGATAGGGTCCTTATGTTGATGGGCATAGATAAGTATATGCCCTCAGAGTTAGCGACCCCACCTCTTTCGACATGGAGGACCGCACACTTATCCGTCCCCAGCTCCATTCTAATAGAATTGTTAAAATCACAAGTGATGTTTAGCAATTCCACAAGATGTGAACGACTGGAGGCGAATAACTTGAGATCATCCATATAGAAAAGGTGGGTCACTTTTGTACCTTCTCTCCGAAGCTGAAATCCTCTCCCGGAACCCTCCAGTAAGGTTCTGAGAGGGTTCAGAGAGAGGCAGAACAAGACTGGACTCGCACAATCGCCCTGGAAGATACCCCTTCTTATCTTTATGTGGTTATCCGGAGCCGTCATCCCCTCGCCTAGACGGCTCCGTGACGCTGTGGCTTAGCAATCAGTTATTGCGCTGGGTGACGCGGGTTCGAATCCCGCACGGAACAAGTATTTGTATGGCCTACAAATAATTGTTCCGGGTCTGGATGTTTGTCCTTGTGCAATTTATATTTGTAAACTGCCTCCACGGCATAGGAAAAAATCCTAGTGTGGGGGTAACGTTTAAAAAAAATTACAAAGGATCGTACTCCACTGCCCCATACACTGCCCGAGGAAGTCTCGAACTTTACAGTCAACCTTGTACAGCTCGAGGACCCTCTTCAGCCATGTATGAGGCACCGAGTTGAATGCCTTTTTGTAGTCTAACCAGGCGGCGGAGAGGTTCCGACGGTTTCGTTTAATCTCCTTGCCAATGACCGTGTCAATGAGGAGTGGTTCCTTGGTTCCACGACCACCGCCCCGACATCCATTTTGAGCGAGCGACATCACCTGATTTGAGTTCAGGTGACGAATGATTCTCAAAATGATGTTAGGTCTTGTATATCGTGGGTAGACACGTGATGGGGCGGTATTTGCTCGGGTCTGTGGTATCTCGGTCTTTAGGAACCAAACGAGTGATCCCAGTAGTGAAGAGGCTTGGGAGCGACTTCTGGTCGAGAGCCTCTTGAAACTGTCGGGCGAGCACAGCGTGACACAAAACCCTTCAGCCAGTGGTGATGCAGTCCGTCCAGCCGCGGACTTTTCCAATTCGGGGCTCTTCGGACCGCCTCAGCTACGTCGTCCGGCGTTATAATGATGGTGTCCATGGGCGTAATATTCGCATACTGACTCGCCACAACTTCCGTCCAAGGGCCTCGTTGTGTTTTTTTTTTATATATAATAAGGGTGACAAACGAGCACAGAGTCCACCTGATGGTAAGTGGTTGCTGTGGTCCATAGACATCTACATCTATTTTCGTTTGCGAATTAAAATGCAGATGCGTTGTCAGTCGTGAGGACTAAGATGGAATGCCACGTAGAAAACGGTTTACGGGCTCTGACCACAGGCCTCGCCAGAATGCGACAGTATCAACCTGATTCGGTGCTTGGCCCGTTCCACGTACTATTGGTCTCTCCAATGATTTATAGAGCCTCTTCTAATCACTCTGGAAGAGGCGGTTCTGGTTTGAACCGTGTTGAACTCTCGGTATATCGCTGAATCCGCTTTCCCCAAGCAGCGGTTCTCTGTTTCAGATCGTCTATGCGCTCCGTCAGTTTTTGCGTAATATCCGGCTGGGACAAACTTATATTTGTCCTAGCAAACGCCATCCTGACGGTGCGCACAATTCTCGGTCTATTATTACCCGACCTGAAGCTTGTCAGTCTGCCGATTAGGGCTCTTGCCTTTGCGATACGGTCCACAATTCTTTTTCTCCAGGCTGGGATGGCGCTACTTTGTGTGGTAGCACGTCCAGCCGTGGGGAGCTTGGCGCCAATAATACGGCATACTGCCAGTGCGACGCCAAAAATAATTGTGTCCGTATCGCAAAGGTCCCGGCTGGTTTCCAAATAGCTCACCAGCATTGGGTTTAGAGCCCTCACGACATAAAAGGCCGCTCCTTGACACAATATCTCAATGAAGAATATCTAGGCGGATGGATACGGCGGTCTGGTGCGATCTCGTGGCCAGCCCGTTCCCCGGATCTAAATTCGTTAGATTTTTTTTTAATGGGGAGCAGTGAATGGGAAAGTTTATTTAAAGCCAATTGAAAATTTAGCTGAGCTTCGGCAAAGAATTACGGAAGCAGCTGAATTTGTCAACAACGAAAGATTTGCCTATCTGATAACCCGGTCTTTTTTAAGATGTCGAGCTTGTATTGCAGCTGAAGGAAAGCAATTTGAACACCTTTTATAAAAAAAATCTCAGTATCCAAATAATTGTTGTAAAAAGTATGACTCGAATGCGTCACTATCTGTCTCACTCTCACTTCATGAAATTATACTACTTCCTCTCGCTAAAACTGGAATCTTAGTTACGCTCAAGGCAAGCTTTGGTTACACTAAAATATTTTTAGTAGTTAAAAAGAATTTTATCAAAACTGGAATTCTTGATGATTTTTTTTTTCTATAATCTAAGAAATAATGTAATAAAGTGCAATACCATTTTAGAATCCTGAATCGTTACTTACTGGCTGGCGTAGTACATTTTTTTTTTCAGTACAGTCAGTTAAAGTCGGGCGAAGTATTAATTTTTCATTCTTGGTTCAGATAAATGTGACATTTTCTTCTAAGTTGGAGCAATTAGCTAACAATTAAAAACAACAGGATACACACTACCCAAGATTACACAAATAAAATAAAATCGAAAAAAGTAAAGATCTGTAGCTAATGGAGCTAAAAAACCATCACAGGTTGTACATTTTTCAAAAAAAAAAAAAAAGAAATTACATACTGTAATTTAAAAAATACATAAGATTTTTTTTTTCTGGTAACTATTATGATTTATCCTATCACCCGATTCCGGCTTGACGTCGACTTTTGGGACAACCTGTATATTATATGAAAACATATTGAAATGGCCATAGGAAGAATGTATACACCCGTGGCATTTTCTTTAGCAATAATATTTATTCCGCCGTATGGCAGGACCTGAAAGCGGCCAGGCGCGAGGGCTGCAGCCCGCTGCTGTCGCGGCAGCCGCACCACTACGCCTCGCTGTACTCCAACTCGGGCGGCGTGCTGCACTACCTGGTGCGAGTGCCGCCCTTCACCGAGCTCTTCCTCAACTACCAAGGTGAGCACGTGTGTGGCAGTGGCAGTGGCAGCCGCACCACTACGCCTCGCTATACTCCAACTCGGGCGGCGTGCTGCACTACCTGGTGCGAGTGCCGCCCTTCACCGAGCTCTTCCTCAACTACCAAGGTGAGCACGTGTGTGGCAGTGGCAGTGGCAGCCGCACCACTACGCCTCGCTGTACTCCAACTCGGGCGGCGTGCTGCACTACCTGGTGCGAGTGCCGCCCTTCACCGAGCTCTTCCTCAACTACCAAGGTGAGCACGTGTGTGGCAGTGGCAGTGGCAGCCGCACCACTACGCCTCGCTATACTCCAACTCGGGCGGCGTGCTGCACTACCTGGTGCGAGTGCCGCCCTTCACCGAGCTCTTCCTCAACTACCAAGGTGAGCACGTGTGTGGCAGTGGCAGTGGCAGCCGCACCACTACGCCTCGCTATACTCCAACTCGGGCGGCGTGCTGCACTACCTGGTGCGAGTGCCGCCCTTCACCGAGCTCTTCCTCAACTACCAAGGTGAGCACGTGTGTGGCAGTGGCAGTGGCAGCCGCACCACTACGCCTCGCTGTACTCCAACTCGGGCGGCGTGCTGCACTACCTGGTGCGAGTGCCGCCCTTCACCGAGCTCTTCCTCAACTACCAAGGTGAGCACGTGTGTGGCAGTGGCAGTGGCAGCCGCACCACTACACCTCGCTATACTCCAACTCGGGCGGCGTGCTGCACTACCTGGTGCGAGTGCCGCCCTTCACCGAGCTCTTCCTCAACTACCAAGGTGAGCACGTGTGTGGCAGTGGCAGTGGCAGCCGCACCACTACGCCTCGCTATACTCCAACTCGGGCGGCGTGCTGCACTACCTGGTGCGAGTGCCGCCCTTCACCGAGCTCTTCCTCAACTACCAAGGTGAGCACGTGTGTGGCAGTGGCAGTGGCAGCCGCACCACTACGCCTCGCTGTACTCCAACTCGGGCGGCGTGCTGCACTACCTGGTGCGAGTGCCGCCCTTCACCGAGCTCTTCCTCAACTACCAAGGTGAGCACGTGTGTGGCAGTGGCAGTGGCAGCCGCACCACTACGCCTCGCTATACTCCAACTCGGGCGGCGTGCTGCACTACCTGGTGCGAGTGCCGCCCTTCACCGAGCTCTTCCTCAACTACCAAGGTGAGCACGTGTGTGGCAGTGGCAGTGGCAGCCGCACCACTACGCCTCGCTATACTCCAACTCGGGCGGCGTGCTGCACTACCTGGTGCGAGTGCCGCCCTTCACCGAGCTCTTCCTCAACTACCAAGGTGAGCACGTGTGTGGCAGTGGCAGTGGCAGCCGCACCACTACGCCTCGCTGTACTCCAACTCGGGCGGCGTGCTGCACTACCTGGTGCGAGTGCCGCCCTTCACCGAGCTCTTCCTCAACTACCAAGGTGAGCACGTGTGTGGCAGTGGCAGTGGCAGCCGCACCACTACGCCTCGCTGTACTCCAACTCGGGCGGCGTGCTGCACTACCTGGTGCGAGTGCCGCCCTTCACCGAGCTCTTCCTCAACTACCAAGGTGAGCACGTGTGTGGCAGTGGCAGTGGCAGCCGCACCACTACGCCTCGCTGTACTCCAACTCGGGCGGCGTGCTGCACTACCTGGTGCGAGTGCCGCCCTTCACCGAGCTCTTCCTCAACTACCAAGGTGAGCACGTGTGTGGCAGTGGCAGTGGCAGCCGCACCACTACGCCTCGCTGTACTCCAACTCGGGCGGCGTGCTGCACTACCTGGTGCGAGTGCCGCCCTTCACCGAGCTCTTCCTCAACTACCAAGGTGAGCACGTGTGTGGCAGTGGCAGTGGCAGCCGCACCACTACGCCTCGCTGTACTCCAACTCGGGCGGCGTGCTGCACTACCTGGTGCGAGTGCCGCCCTTCACCGAGCTCTTCCTCAACTACCAAGGTGAGCACGTGTGTGGCAGTGGCAGTGGCAGCCGCACCACTACGCCTCGCTGTACTCCAACTCGGGCGGCGTGCTGCACTACCTGGTGCGAGTGCCGCCCTTCACCGAGCTCTTCCTCAACTACCAAGGTGAGCACGTGTGTGGCAGTGGCAGTGGCAGCCGCACCACTACGCCTCGCTGTACTCCAACTCGGGCGGCATGCTGCACTACCTGGTGCGAGTGCCGCCCTTCACCGAGCTCTTCCTCAACTACCAAGGTGAGCACGTGTGTGGCAGTGGCAGTGGCAGCCGCACCACTACGCCTCGCTGTACTCCAACTCGGGCGGCGTGCTGCACTACCTGGTGCGAGTGCCGCCCTTCACCGAGCTCTTCCTCAACTACCAAGGTGAGCACGTGTGTGGCAGTGGCAGTGGCAGCCGCACCACTACGCCTCGCTGTACTCCAACTCGGGCGGCGTGCTGCACTACCTGGTGCGAGTGCCGCCTTTCACCGAGCTCTTCCTCAACTACCAAGGTGAGCACGTGTGTGGCAGTGGCAGTGGCAGCCGCACCACTACGCCTCGCTGTACTCCAACTCGGGCGGCGTGCTGCACTACCTGGTGCGAGTGCCGCCCTTCACCGAGCTCTTCCTCAACTACCAAGGTGAGCACGTGTGTGGCAGTGGCAGTGGCAGCCGCACCACTACGCCTCACTGTACTCCAACTCGGGCGGCGTGCTGCACTACCTGGTGCGAGTGCCGCCCTTCGCCGAGCTCTTCCTCAACTACCAAGGTGAGCACGTGTGTGGCAGTGGCAGTGGCAGCCGCACCACTACGCCTCGCTGTACTCCAACTCGGGCGGCGTGCTGCACTACCTGGTGCGAGTGCCGCCCTTCGCCGAGCTCTTCCTCAACTACCAAGGTGAGCACGTGTGTGGCAGTGGCAGTGGCAGCCGCACCACTACGCCTCACTGTACTCCAACTCGGGCGGCGTGCTGCACTACCTGGTGCGAGTGCCGCCCTTCACTGAGCTCTTCCTCAACTACCAAGGTGAGCACGTGTGTGGCAGTGGCAGTGGCAGCCGCACCACTACGTTGTACTCAAACTCTTAACGTATTCTGGATTAGTGTTACTCTTAAATTATATATATCATTTGTTTACGATTTGGCGGCAAATTGAAAATTGTCTGTGTCACGTTAGCATGAATTTAACGCGAGAAAATATTCGTGCAGTGATTTTTTTATGAATTTCGGTATCATTTAAGTCAACAAGAAAGTTATGATAGACTTCGTTTGGCCTTTCACGATGAAGCCCCATCTCGTGCCACTGTTTATAACTGGTTTAATGAGTTTAAATATGGTCACACTAATCTCACCGATGATCTGCGTGAGGTACGGCCTTCTACGGCGACGACTGAAGATAACATCAGTGTTGTGAGGCGTATGATAGAGACTGACAAAAGAGTGACTTATCAGCTGATTCGGACAAGCTTAGGCATCGGTATGAGACAAGTACACAAAATCCTCCATGAACATTTAGTGGTCAGGAAGCTTTGTGCCCGGTGGATATCTCATAATTTGACAGAGGCCCAAAAACTCCGTCGTGTTTATTGGTGTCGTGAAATGGTTCAAAGATTTAATGGAGGTGACTCAAATGCTGTGTTCGATATACTTACGGGTGACCAAAGCTGGATTTATTGTTATGATCCTGAAACTAAGAGACAGTCTGCTGTATGGGTGTTTCCTTCCGAGGAGTTGCCAACTAAAGTAAAGAGAGGTCGAAGCGTTGGACAAAAGATGGTGGCCTCGTTCTTCGGAAGGACAGGTCTGCTTCGTCATTGTTTATGCGTTACACATAATACTTAGTAGTAAGTAGCTTTGCTTTATTATGCCCTGCAGTGAGCGGCAAGAAGCTGATGATGAAGTAGTTTTGCATCTTTAAAGTATTTAGTTTAAATAAGGCCTCAATTTCATTTTTGCCACTGGCTAAAAGAGCTTTATGGAACAAGGTAAAGTAAAGGTTAGAGTGTTAGAGAGGGAGAGAGAGAGAGAAAGAGAGAAATATTTATTTATCCTAAATGTGTTTGTTTGTATACAGACAACAACTTCGACATGCCGGACCGTACGTTCCACTCGATGGCAACCACGTGGCGTCTCATCACCAACGATTCGCCTACGGACGTCAAGGAGCTCATCCCCGAGCTGTTCTACCTGCCAGAGCTGTTTTACAACAATGAAGGTACGCGAAAAGCTAACGGCACGACAAAAGTGTTATAACTTATATTTAGAGTTGATAGTTTTTCGAACTTAAACAGTCAGTCAGTCATTTGGAATCCAAAACATGCTTATCATAAGATAGAGTATAAAATCTTTGGACTTGTATATCAGAAGTAATTGGAGAACCAGTGAACTTTTTAAAATTGAAGAAAATCTATTTGATGTTTAGTTTTCATACATATCGATGCAAGAAGCTAGCATAAATAAAATCCGTTGCAGAAGAGGACGACATAGTCTAAATAATTATACTGACTTTGCAAATGCAATGCACAAATCGCTAGAATGACGACGTCGCCTATTTCGTCAAGCTAGAAATGAATAGACGCAAATGTGTAAACGGTCACTCGTGTAGCCTTAAGCTACGCGAATATCTTGCCAAACAATTCGTCAAATGGCGAGGCGAATCACGAGCACCCAAGTGTAAATGCGGTATTATATTTACGCGAACGCTACACATTAAATGAAACTAATTTTACGCGTTTAATTTCAACTTTTATAAAAATTAAAGTAATAATAAACATGTCCATGGGCCAGAGCATCCACTTACCATCAGGTGGACTATGTGCTCTTTTGGTCACTATTATTCTATAAAAAACAAAACACGTTTGTTCCATACCGTGGGTTGTAAGAGGCAAATATGGGAAACGCTGTCTTATATCTTTCGAAATATGACACTATAAAATGTCACATACGACCGTACAGCAGTGTTAAGGGTCTTCACGTGTGGCATTGCGATGGTCTATCCGCCTGGCTAGCGTGAAGAATAAGAGAGGCCCATGTCCTGCGAGGTCGAGCAGCCAGCAGCGGACTTTAGGAAGTTTAACGCGGAGTGGTGCGGTGGTGGCAGGGCTGGAGCTGGGCGTGCGGCAGTGCGGCGCGCGCGTGGACAGCGTGGAGCTGGCGCGCTGGGCGGCCGACGCGCGGCTGTTCACGCTGGCGCAGCGCCAGGCGCTCGAGGCGCCGCTCGTCACCGAGCGCCTGCCGCTCTGGATCGACCTGGTCTTCGGCTACAAGCAGACCGGCCAGCCTGCCATCGATGCCATCAACGTCTTCCCGGCATGCGTGAGTCCCGCTACCTTGCTTACGCTATCCTATTTTTACGTATCATCCCGTGGGTGTCGTAAGGGGACGACAGAAGGCGACAGAGGGAAACAAATCACAAGATGGACGGCAGTGTCTTCCTAATAACGACCAAAAATTAAAAACTGCGGTAGCCATCCACTTGGTAAGCGTGGCAACTATAACATATATTTCCCCTATGAGTAGCTCTTATATTAATTATTAAAAAAATATATGGACAATATCTGAGGCAGTCTTATAATCGTATGTAACATGACATACTCAATTGTTTGTTTGGATGATGATACAAAAATGTTGATTTAAGTTAGTGAAATGTGACATAGCATGCTTTACGAGGGTGACACTGAAAGTTCTTAGAAAATCAAAAACTGAACAAACTAGCAATTTATTAATTTTATTATATCTTTTCAAAATAGTGACCATTTACATCAATACATCGCTGCATCCGATGGAACCACTGAGAAAAGCATTTTGCCCACTCGTCCTTAGGGGTCTCTTCGACGGCATTTGAAAACGCAGCCACTGCTTCCTCGTCGTCCATAAAACGTTTTCCTCGAAGTTTTTTCTTTTATTTTCGGAAATAAATAAAATCGCAAGGTGCATGGTCGGGACTATAGGGCCGATGACCCAGTAATTCCACGTCTGACGTTGCCAAGTAGTCTGTGATTTGCTTGGCGGTGTGCAACGAGGCGTTGTCGTGATGAAGGAGGATCCTACTGCCAGGTCGTTTCTCCCGAACTTTTTTTTAAGACAAGTGGCAAACAATTGTTAGTGTACCACTCTACAGTAACTGTTTTTCGATCCTCTAAAACAATTGTTGCGTAATGACCTTTCCTTTTAAAGAACGAGGCCTTCATCTTTTTCCCATGCTTCGACCTCCCTTCACTTTAGTTGGTAACTCCTAGGAAGGAAACACCCAGACAGCAAACTGTCTCTTAGTTTCAGGACCATAACAATAAATCTTTCGTCACCCGTATGTATGTCGAACACAGCATTTGAGTGTTTGAGTCATTTCACGACACCAATCCGAACACAGCATTTGAGTGTTTGAGTCATTTCACGACACCAATCAACACGACGGAGTTTTTGGGCCTCTGTCAAATTATGAGGTATCCACCGGGCACAAAGCTTCCTTACCACTAAATGTTCATGGAGGATTTCGTACACTTGAATCATACCGATACCTAAGCTTGTCCGAGTCTACTGATAAGTCACTCTTTTGTCAGTCTATCATACGCCGCACAACACTGATGTTATCTTCAGTCATCACCGTAGAAGGCCGTCGCTCACGCAGATCATCGCTGAGATTGATGTGATTGATGTATGGAACATTATTTAAGCTTATTTGCAATGAATTTAATAATACTTTTACTTCCAAAACATTCTCCTTGAACAGTCAGAAGTCATTCAATGAATGGGCGACAGTAGGAGTCCATAAGAGCAGACATAGGTTATATGATCTTTACCATGAAAGGTCATATTATCATAGCGTCGAATTTAGGGAATATGTAAAAAAATATTCAAAAATATTTAAAAGAGTGTGCTCCACAACGAAGTCTTTTCATTTGAGCAACAAAATTAAGACGGCTTCTAATAAAATTAAAATGACATGGAGTATAATTAATAGCGAAACTGGTAAGATCAACTCTCGCAATTCAAACTACCAGATCAGGACGTTGCAATGGTTTTTGAGAAATATTTTACTGATATTCCGATATTAACCACTAAGTCACTGAATTCTTCTCCTGCCGTCGCTGAATCATTACTTAAGCAAAATGTAAACGCGTGTACAAAGAATTTTACATTTTTTACAATTTACATTTCATAAAGTATCATCAAAAAATATTGTAAAATATTTTAAAACTATTGATGTTAAGAAAACTGCGGGTCTGAGGGAGATTTCCGTTAAAGTTATTGCGTCTATAATAGATACAATCGCGCCTTATTTAGCCATTATTTTTAATACTAGTATCGAATCTGGCGTGTTTTCTGATTTAATGAAGTATAGTAAAGTATACCTTTATTTAAATCTGGTAGCACATTAGACCCCGCCAATTAGAACCCGCCCGCAAAGAAAAAAAATTATAATAATAAAGAAAAGTTAAATAAAAATAAATAGTAAAGAGAATAATTAATTAAAGAGAATTTTAGACCTATTTCTGTACTACCAACACTTAGTAAGATTTTTGAAAAAATTATTCTTGATCAAATGTTAAATTTCTTTAATATAAATAATTTACTTCATAAAAATCAATTCGGTTTCACAAGGGATCGCTCGACAACTGATGCCGGTGTTGAGCTGATTAAATATATCTTTAATGCATGCGAGAATTCACAGGATGCTTTGGGTATATTTTGTGACCTATTCAAAGCCTTCGATTGTGTTCACCATGAAACATTAATCAGGAAACTTCAACACTACGGTGTAAGAAGTGATGCTCTTAAATTAATTATTTCATATTTAAGTAAGAGAACGCAAAAAAGTTGTCCTTAACAGTATGAGCTCTTCCGGGTCGATAGTACAAATGGGCGTGCCTCAAGGCTCAATTCTCGGCCCCTTTCTGTTTCTTGTATACATTAATGACTTACCTTACATAGTAGGAGATAACCATGATATACTATTATTTGCAGATGACACTTCTTTAATTTTCAAATTAAGTCGACAAGTGCTAAAATATGACGAAGTAAATAATGCTATATCTAAATTAGTAAATTGGTTCAATGTTAATAATTTGCATTTAAATGGCACTAAAACGAAATATATGAAATTCATGACTCAATTAATATCAAACAATTAAATACTAATGTAATTTTAAATGGGGAGAAACTGAGTCTTGTAGATACCACCATTTTTTTTGGAATCACACTAGACGCGAAGCTTCAATGGAGCCCTCATATATCAAAACTAGCAAGCAGATTTAGTTCTGCAGCATATGCCGTAAAAAAGATTAGAAGTCTAACTAGTGTTGAAACAGCTAGACTAGTTTACTTTAGCTATTTCCATAGCATAATTTCGTATGGTATTTTGCTATGGGGACACGCAGCTGACAATGAAATTATATTTGTTTTACAGAAGAGGTCCATAAGAGCAATTTATGATTTAAAGCCTAAAGAGTCGCTGCAACAAAAATTTAAGGAAATTAATATATTAACTTTGGCCTCTCAATACATTTATGAAAATGTAATGTACGTACACAAAAATAAAAGAAGTTTTGCAAAAATAAGTGATATTCATTCTGTAAATACTAGGAACAAACACAAGCTAGTAGTACCAGTTACTCGACTCAAAAGATAGCCCTAATGTGGCAAGGCGGAGGGTCAGCCTCCACTGGATGCTCCTCCTGGGCATCGCATCACTTAAATAAGTCCTGTACTGGACAGAAGTCCGACGACCTCTTTCAAACACCTATCTGTGCTCCTATGATTAGTTCTGCAATCCAACCGGATCAGGTCTGCAAACAGCGACGCGACACGAAGCGGCCCAGAGTGACCTCCTAAGCTTCAGTGCAGAGAGTACTCACAAATTCCACATAAACGTCGTCTGTGGAGAGCCGAACGAAACGCACAGATAGTCCCTAGTATGAATTTTCAACAAGTAGGCCTAGCCAGACCACCCACCATATTATCATTTACTAAAATAGTGCGGCAGCTGATTTCTATCTGATAATCTCCAAAACTAGCTAGCCTGTTAGACAAGTAGTCCTATGCTCATATTTCAACTAATTTTTCAAAAGCATCAATGTTCAACTACAGAATCAATTCAACCAAATTAATCACCGATGCGCATAGGTCAACTTGCAAATTAAACAAAACAATAACGTAAGGGACTGCGCCGCGGAGCCGTCGCCGGGTTATAGCTAAAGTGACCATACGTCCCGTTTTGAACGGGACTGTCCCTTTTCTCGGTCACCTGTCCCATTGTCCCCAAACAAAGCTCCGGGACACAAAATTGTCCCGTAACTCGTTGGATGGAAGTATTCAAAGTCAACAATCTTCAACATAATTTTTTTTAATCGAATATATTTTATGTCTACCTGGTACGAATGCTCCGGTAGAAAGAGTATTTTTTTATTTTAAATAAATTGTGGATCTCTGAAAGAAACACTTACGGTTCCAGAGTTTTAAAGGCGACGTTGTTAACAAAGAGAATAAAAAAACTTGAGCAGAATTTTATTCTTATTTAAAATCATCACCAACTTTATTAAAGCAAATTTAATCCACTGACAAATGTAATTAATAATTAAAAAAAATATGTTGCATTTAATAATTACCGTCTATACCGAATCTAATTTTATAGTGAACACTAATTGTATAAAGTTATAGTTTTTAGAGTATAAATAAACCCATGTCCTGTTTTGAGTTAAAAAATAAATGGTCAGTTTAGTCTTTTTAGTTAAATTTAGTTTTTAAAATTTGTAGTTAATAGTAAAAGTAGGTATATTAGTACCTACTTAGATACCTTTTACCGAATTATAAGTATAGAACACCTTATGTACTCAATTATTTTTTGAAAAAGAAGAAAAAACAAGCAATAAATAATATACTATATTTTAGCAAAAAACTATAACTTAGTAATACTAATTATAACTTAGAACATAAATGAAAAACTCATAACTGACTTTTTGGCCCGACCCAGGATTCGAACCCGGGACCTCATGATCAGCAGTCGCACTACTACAACCACTAGACCAACGAGGCGGTACTATACCTAATAAGATATTGTGGTTGGGTGATAATATTGAATTAGCCTTTTATAGTGTAAATTATAATATTTGTCGAAATTTTAATTATGGATTCGAACCTTACATGCTAATGGTGCTTCATTTTTTTATTTGCATTTACTTCAAAGAAAATACACGCAAAAATCGCGCAGTAAAAAACACAACAAATATATGTATAACTAATACGAAAAATTATACCCAAAACAAACAAATAATACTACCTATAAATAACCTAATAAGTAATAATATTATCGACTGATA